CAACATAATTTCCAAGATAACATATGAATACTTATTTGATGATGAACCTTTGTTCCCTACATATATGTAATTGCAGATGGCGGACCAATTAATCCGATTTTCGGAGGGAATAGCAAAAGATATCATGGTAAGAATACAAGATCACTATGCCCCTACCAATTTCATGGTTCTAGACATGGGAGAAGAAGGAGAAGACGTACCCATCATCCTTGGAAGACAGTTCCTCAACACTACTAACATGATCATCTACGTCAGATCTAGACATGTCCACTTCTAATTCCTAGGAGAAAAGGTACGATGTTATTTCAATAGTTATACCACTTATGAACAACCAAAGAAGACCCACTCCAAGAGGAGACGTCGATCATCCCGACGCTAAAAAAATCAACTACCCAAGAATGAAGAAGATGAAGAACCTATGAAAGATGAACCTAATCCGCCAAAATCAAGTCCACAGACCAAGCTGGTGTGGAAGAAAAAGGCGGCATTGTCATTAGAGTCACCATCATTAGCGGTGCAATCATCAAGGTCTCCTTCTTCGGGACCGATAGATGCACCCAAAGAATAAATAAGACTAGAGAAGTCCTGTCCGGAGGACTTGAAAATCCGAACCCTCGCTAGGAGGTAAAATTGGTAGTTATCCATATTTACTTTTTAGCATTGCATGAATTATTTTCACTTTAGCATATTTACTTTTCTGCATTTACATTGCACTTAGAAAATAAAATAAAAATTGCATCATTGCGTTATAAAATTTTAAGCCCCATGTAAATACTTTTATGGTGTGTAAAAACCCACAAGATTATTTACCGTGGTGGCATAAAAATAAAAATATCATACATACATCTAGTTATATTTCATTCTGAATAGATAAAATAAGAATAATAATATATGAGACAAGCATCCTGATAAATTCTATCAATACGAAAATATTTCTAAGCTCCAAGAACAACTAACCTTTGGATGGTGAACTGCTAACCCTTTATTCTAATTCGTTCCATGAGTTTTGTTCTTCTTGTTGAAGTTTTTGCAGGATGGTCATGAGCAAGTTCACCTGGTCATCTTCATCTCGCTTCACCAGGAGTGCATCCTTATCAAGAACCCAACTTCCTGATGGACGAGAAGGGCATCTGCTGGCGAACCCTCTCTGAGAAGTACAACCATGCCAACAACTAGCTTAGGGAAAAGGCATCCCCCATATATCTAGATAAGTATTTCTTTTCCTTTTGGTTTTATTTCTAAGTTTGCTTTATAAAGATGCATAACTAAAAACAAAATAAAAGTTTATCTATATAGTAATAAGGTGTGATCTAAAAATAAAAACAAAGTAAAAAGTGTGTGTTTAGTTTTCTTTAAGTTTGATTTTTAAGAGCTGAATAAAGAAAAAGGACTCTAAAGATAATCTCTTAAATAGAAATGATGAATAGTTGCTCTGTTGTAATTCCTTTCAAGTACCTAGTTTTCAGCCTTGAATTCTCTCGAGTTTTGGATAAGACTGTTTTGATATAAGAATTTACTCTGAACTTGAAACTCGTGGGTAGTATATGCTTGATCTAAGTCTAGGTAATTAACGGATATGATATGAGAAGGTCTGAGCTGTTGTTTATCTTGTTCCAAGTGATACTAAAGTTCTAGAGATTTCTTTTGAAAAACATAAAATGCTACATGATGAGTTCCTATATAACAAAGCTTGAATTCCTATCAGAGCCAAATATGATATTTAGATTAGGAAAACTTCCACATATATGCTACTTGTTTTACATTGAGTTTAATCAAGCTTTGTTGACCCTTATGAGAGAGTTTGTCATGCTCTTAAAATCAAGATCACGTACACACCACCCACAAATTCACTACTCCTACACTAGGAGTAGGCACAAAAACATGCCATTCCATCTAGATCCACCTAAAAATATTTTACTCCTACACTGGGAGTAAACACCAAAAATAGCTTGATAGGATTTTCCACCAAATAAATGCTCAAAGTTCTTGTTGCTATCTCTCAAAAGTTTTGTTACAGAGAAGAGGCATAGGCTATGCAAAAGTTATTCATAAAAAAAGGAAAAAAAGGAAAGATGAAAAAATGGACAAGTGTCCGAGATATTTAAAACAATGGGTACTCAGATGCCCGCCTGAAAAAAAAAGAAAAAAGAGATGAATAAGATAGCCCATGTTTTCTTGCAAAGTTGTTTCAAGTTTCAAAAGAGAGATATGTTTTTAAGGAGCATAGTAGAATTAGGTTAGCCACCATATGTATCCAGCACTTATATCCACACACATGCACATCTTGATTTAATTGTATGACTCAACTCTTTTTGGATCCAAGGTTTGACTTTACAATATATGCATTGCAAGTATACTCTTTCATGCTATTTCCACTCCTATGAGCTCCACATAAGCCTTAGTTGTAGAAAGACAAAGGCATAACATCATTATTGCCTTGGTGAGGATCCATAAATACCATATATATTGAGAGACTTGAGAGTGTCATACAAAAGAAGCTCTGAGTTTTATTTTGAAAATCTATAAAAACTCTGGAATAATGGTTGAGCAAAGAACTTGAGACATAGTGCTTGACTTGATCATTCTATCTTTCAATTGCTCAAGATCCAAGTGAAGGCTAAGAATCCCCATGGTTGAAGGTAATATGGGTGAGTTTCAAAGTCAATAGTTTGTTCTAATCCGGAGGAGAATTCTTGTTTGGACACATGTATACTTTTGAGGAGTGAAAACATCGAAGCAACTACTGATCCATTGCTAAGTTTAACATTGCTTAGGGACGAGCAAAGGTTAAGCTTGGAGGAGTTTGTTGATGGTAGTTAACAAACATTATAAACCATCAATATAACTTGAATAAGGGCATGGAAATAATCACCAACATAGACTTAGGGTTTAAACTAACAAATTCCATGAGTTTTGTCGAATCTGTATTTTCTGCAGGGTTTATCCAAAAAACCGTCAAGGTGGACCTATATATCAGAATTAATCGCGCTTATTCACAACGAGACGGACACCAGAAGGATCTAGAAGACACTAGAGGGCACCACGCCGAGGCAGAGAGGAGGAGGCTACCAGGTGGGGCCGCCCGGCCTAACCTATAGGCCAGCCGTCCCCTTAGCCCACCTATCTGCCTCCCCATTGCAATGTCAGTTCTCCACCGCTTTATGGTTTGCATCTACGCCGTTCTTTAAAGTTGGTTTGATCCGAGGGTTCAGAATGAATGCTATGACCCATATATACCAGCCCCTGCCACCCCCTCGCATCAACCATGATCATTCAAGTCAGAGATCATCAAGTCAAAAACCCTAATCCTTAGAGATCCACCAAATTCTAGTGCATAGTTAGCTAGGCTAGATCTAGAGGGAGGCAAGCTTTGATTCAATTCCTGATCGTGTCAAGAGCATGGCTTGGTATATCCCCTTGTATCCTCTTTTGTATCTTTCATATGTCATATGTTTGCTATAGTTGATTCAACATTGTTCTTAATATTATTCATGTTCCTAGTTATCATGTTCATCGTTTACTTTGATTATATGCTTAGTATAGTTAGATTATCATCATGTTCAAGTATAAGTTCGTATAGCACTCGCTCCAAAGTACAAGGGGTGAGTGGTCAATATTGTGTAAGCGTGGTGCTTATATGTTGTTTATCTGCGGATGCACCCTATATTCCGAGCCACGTGGTAGATCACGGATGTGACACTCTCGTTGAGTCCTTTGTAGTCCACTCCCTGAATATAGGCAAGTAGGATCTAGTTACGAAGGAAGACAAGCTCTGTTCTTAATCTTTCTTACTAATATCCTTTATGTGTAGATATGAAGTTGATCTTAGCGATGACTACTAAGTGTAATTATACTAATCAATGTATGCTTTGACTTGTAATTAAGAATGACTTAGGAATTATTCCTCCAATTTCTACTTAGCAATGCTAATGCCATAGAAAGGAGTACTCTGAGTGATCATTTATGATTACTTACCATATTTATCTCATGACTTACCCTTGTTGTGAGTAGAAATTTGGTCATGGTTTATTTCTCCATCATATGTATAAGTTATCAATATATTCCATTTGCTCGTCCTTCCCTGTGGTAAAAATATAAATAACGATACCTGAAATACTCCCGGGTGAAGTGCTACAATAGTATAATTATATGTGCGCTTGCAGATCCTTTTATATATATATATATATATATATATATATATATATATATATATATATATATATATATATATATATATATATATATATATATATATATATATATTCTTTCTAGTCACATAAAATACTAAATTACTTCTTAGTGTCATTCTAGAGGTGGCACTAGATAGTACCAACAAGCATTTCTGGCACCATCGCTAGGGATGACAACTTAGCAAAAGTGACGTTAAGAAATGTCAACAATATTAGGTGGCTACCTAAACAAGTGACATGTTAATAAATACCAACAAGTGCCAAGACTCTTAAATGCTTGAATATACGTATTATGTTGCATTATGTTCAATATAGCGCGGATCACATTAGCGTCAAGGTGTGGTGATCTTTTCATCCTATGATGCATAGTCTCATCTATATCATAAAAGTACAACTGCATGTGGCAAGGTCCCTTAACACCAAGCATAAGTTGATCCAACCTATGATAGATTTGGCCATGAGCTTTAAATGTACATATTCCAGTACCCTTTGCTGTTGCCAAACTACGATCAATGGAAACCCCCATGCTGGTGAAAGAAAAATGTGAATTGAAGTAACGAATGCTCCTTTTGAAATACTTTGCATCCCTATCGGTTTGACTTATGAACAATCGACGGAGCTCATCTAGGACCTCTGGTATAAATATATTAACTCGTCCTTTCCAACAACAAAATACAGGACCTTCACCTTCAAACCTCGTTGCACGACAATAAAAATAGTTCTGCACTTTCTTCAAGACATGATGGATCTTAGGAAGACCCACATACACAAAGTTATAATGATCATGACCATTTATTCTTGTTGTAGGTTCTATAGAAAACTCATATTGGAAATCTGCAATTAAAAATCAGATTTTTCGAAGTTTACATGAGCATAAATAAAAAATAATATAGCAAAAATGTCCTCACAAGTTCACCTTTATCATTAAACATTCTAGCTTCACCATCCTCGTAGATGTTATGGCCATCTTCATTTGGGTTTTGTTGATCTAAATCATTTTCTATTCAAAAAAATATTAAACTATTACTCAATGAACATGCAATGTATTTTTGGGATATGCAATTACACAGTTTAAACTTTTCATACCCTCTATTCCATGCAATGTGTCTTCTGGTTCCCAAATGCCAGAGTTGAAAACTTCTTGATCAACTTTTTTCTGAGCACGAGAATCATAGTGATATACATGTTTCCTAACACCTAAAACAGATAGGATTAAGCAGGGAACATTACTACCACACCTAACATGTTTGTTACTACATATATATATTTAAAAATATATTAGCACCATACATGACATATTTAGAGTTGATGCGAATTTCTTGGACTTGGCGGCGGCACTCAACTTAGCTCGATAATTATGTTGATATTCACGTTTTTTAGCAAGAACCTCATCCTTCTGATCGCCGGTCATTGCTTGTCTATACCTCTCCTTGGCCATTTGCTTTCCACAAGTGCTTTCATCTTCACGAGTGCCTTCATCTAAAAGACTCAAAAATAATTAACATTACTATCTTTGCTAAAATGAACAGTACAAACAATTGAAAATGAAGAGCACAGAAAACCAGAGCAAAATACCTATATTATCCTCTTGTGACACCATGACTCGTTTCCGCTTACAAGAGTTGCCTTCATCATCCATTCTAGTATCAATGATTTCAAATGATGCAATTAATTTTGATGCATCAGCCTCGGCCTTTAGACGCGCCCGACGAAAACGTTGGTATTCACGTTTTTGGGCCGGAACTTCCTCCTTCTTATTGTTAGGCAATGCAGCATACCTCTCTTGTTGGTACTCATAATTTTTGGCCCGAGCTTTCTCCTTCTAAGCTGTGATTTGAGATGATGCAATCGATTTTGATGCATCATCCTTGGCCTTTAGGCGAGCCCAACGACTACGTTGATAATCACGATTTTTGGCACGAACTTCCTCCTTCTTATTGTTAGGCAATGCAGCACACCTCTCTCGTTGGTACTCATAATTTTTGTCTCGAGCTTTCTCCTTCTGAGCTGTGATTTGAGATGATGCAATCGATTTGGATGCATCAGCCTCAGCCTTCAGACGAGCCCGATGACTACGTTGATACTCACGATTTTTGGCATGAATTTCTTGCTTCTCATCGATAGGCAATGCAGAATACCTATCTCGTATATTTCCACGTTTTTTGGCCCATGCTTCCTCGTCATTGATAGGTAGGGTTTCTTTTTCCTGTTGATTCATTCTTTCAATCTATGCCTCAGATTGTGCCTGTGGAAGAGTGACACATCTTAGCTGAATTCTAATCACTAAATTCAGAATCAAAGTACTGATAAAATCAAGAAAGGAGTCACAGACTGAAGTGAAAGAATTGAAGTTTGTTTACGGTGACTATAATAAATGAAGAAATTAAATTTTGGTTAGAGTAACATATGCAAACATATTTTCACAGGCAGAGGATAAAGTTAAGAATGTAACACAAGTTTGTGCATGGATTAGTACAAATGTGCTAGTTCTATTAGACTGTGCTGTTCGCCGTAACTTTTTTTATTCTGATCAGGAAGAGGGAAACCTTAAACTGGTAAATAAGGAGTAGGTTCCTGTAGGAAAGCACGGAAGCATGAACTGATGAAACCAACATATATCATCCAGAATTCAGAAGCACATGATTCACAAATCAGAAGCACTTCAACAAAGCATGGAAGCACGAACTGATGAAACCAACATCATCCAGAATTCAGAATCACATGATTCACAAATCAAAAGCACTTGAACAAGCAGGGGACGTACCTATACCTAAATCAGCAATGCATATGCTGCGATGGTTGAGGAATCGGAGACCTGGTGGCGATGGCCGGGAAGGAGACCTGTTTCTTCCTCCTCCTCGTCGCTCTTCTGTTCAGCACCGCTGCGAGAGGAGCCGCTCTACACCGATAAAAACAAAACGAGTGCTCGACTCGATCAACGCTGTTGTGGTCATGAGCTCTTGAAGCCGGCAGCCGGCCGGAGCAGGTCGTACTTGGCCCAGACGGCGTCGAGCGGGCACGGCCTTCCGGCGTCCAGGAGGTCCCAGGGCTTCCCCTTTGCCGCTCCAGTGCAGCAGGCTGACGGCGCCGGAGTTGCGATGAGGTTGGGCTCGCTTCAATTCGGTCGGCGCAGGACCCGAGGAGGACGAGCGTGAGCGCCAGCGGCCGTGGTAACCGCGACGCGGTGTCGCGTCCGTCCGCCGGGTTTCTCTCGTGCGCGAGGAAGCGGACGGGCGGGTAAGCGGCGGTTTCCCGCGCGCGAGGAAGCGTGAATTCGCGATGTGTTGGCGGTGTCGTGAGGAAGCTGGGTACGTGCGGGCGGGTAAGCAAGTTTTGCGGTGAAAAACTTCGGACGGAGTCTGATCGTTTCTACACGGAAACACGTGTTTCATATGTCAGATGTTAGGAAACATTCCGAGCCCACAGTTGACACTTAGGCTGCGTTCGGCTGGTGTTTTCATTGTTTTCGGACGAAAACACTGTTCATGTTTTCCTAAATTTTCTCAGATTCCTTCAAATTCCTCCAAACGAACAGGCCCTAAGAGAGATCTAAGGTGAATAAGATGATTTTAGGTGATAAGTATTTTCCGATTCCTTTGCTTCTTTATAGTATAGATAGATATGTTGATAGAGAATGGATATTATCCAAGTGGTCTAGAATGGGCATGAAACTTACTGGCGTCATTCCAGAATGCTAAATCTTGTAATGTGCTATAAGAGCTATTATTGCTGACATGTCTTTTGAGACACGTGGTTTTTATTTTTGTTATCTTTGGGGAAGGTTGGAAGGCTGCACTTGGGACTAGGTGACACTTGGGAACAGTCATCAAAAGTGGGGGGCAGCAAGCTAGCAAAACTATCCTTGGCTTTGGCTACAGGCAATGTTGGATGGCCTGGATACTGGTGCCATGTAAGTAAGGGAGTTGTACATCAAAGCGTTGTGAACATCAGTTTGAAGTATTGTGTTTTTAGATAACAATACAATCCACATTCATATTTATATTATTGTAGCCATGTATGCTTTAACAAAAAGCCCAGAATACCTTAAAAGATACCGTGCGAAAGAAATGGCTGCTACAATTGGTGTATGTGAGAATATGGAATACAATTTACCATAGCACAGATACATTAGTCGCTTGTTCTTGCTTTTATTACTTGTTTTCTATATATTATTCTAATCACTATCATGTTTACAGGTTTTTTTGGCTATGGCTACACGTTGGAAAATATATGCTTTATATTTTCGACCAGTAGAAAGAAGACGCTTATTATGATTGACTGTAGACCTGTTGAAAAGTGGTGTAAAGATACACCGGTGTTGATGTATGCTACACAAACTCTTAGATTTAACTTGCAGTACATAGCTGCAGTGAATGTACATATTCCTGAATGGAACGAGGATATCTTCAAATGAAAATTCATCCATGAAAAAAACATTGCAGATTACGTAGATGGGTAACCAACTCAGAGTCGTCGTCGCTTGCAATAATAATACCTATGATTTAACTATTTCTATATATTGCTGATGCTAAATCTTGGCACAGACACTCAAGTGGATATCTTATTCTACAGTATATGTCTGCGTGGAATAGATATAAAGCCACACATATTTATATTGTGAGATAACATACTTTGTTTTTAAGGTTTTATGAGAGATTTTTCAAGACACGAAGTATTACCCATATGACAGGCACTGATATTTACATATATACTCAAACCTGTGTACAAGATGGTACGGAGATGCGGCGAAACTTATTCGTGGATTTGTCGGCGCACGAATGAAATGGATATCGGAGATTTCTTCCTGCCGATATAAAATATTATCTTAGCCGCATCACGGAAAGTAGAGTTTGTGACCTGCGACGTCGCGCTCTTCGTGACTGTGTTAATTTCACGAACTTTACTTTTTGAATTAAATGTCATTTTAACGTTGATATTTTATTATACAGTATTGTTATTTTATCGTGCGATCCATGTGTTTTTAGTATAAAAATTTAGCTGTCCAGTAACGACACACGAGCACAAATGTACTTAATATAGAAAGATAAATGCAGTTGTATACGGAAAAGGGATCTATATCCTGTTAGAATTAGAACTCGGACGCAGTATCCTAGAACTCGTTTCTTATTACTCCGTATTATCTTATTGTTTACTTTTTGTCCTATAGCTGTATTCTATCTTGTATTGATGTCGGTCGGACTCGGCCAGACTTGGCAACACTGTTGTCCAAGAGAGCGGCCGGCGAAAGGTAACCTTTGTTTAATAGGATTCATGAGCTAGTTGGCGTACCGCGCCGTGCGGGAGACGAAGCAGGGGAGGGAGAGACCGGGCGTGCAGCGCGGGAGAGACAAGGAATGCTGCGTGGGCTGTCGATTCAGCGTGCGACCACACTGAGTTTGGGCCATTCGGCCAGAAAAAATTGGTCGAACGAAAATGGAGAGATTTTGCCTTTCTATATCTATACCTAATAATAAGAAGCTAAAATTTCTATCACCTCTGAATTTTCGTCAACTAAGACATTGACTCGGTCAACTAACACATTGACTCGGTTACCGTATATATTTTTCTGTTTTCATGTCCGAGTCCTTTTTCTTCCCATAGATTTTATTTCTTTTTCCCGGACTAAAAGTGAAGAAAGGAGAATTCGGTAAAAACACAAACCAACTTGGATACGCATACTTCAGACAATTGGATCCAAGTCGAATCCAAATAGAAATAGAAATCGAGAAAAACAACCACCATAAATTAAATTACGTGATTGGACCAACAAAAACCAAACAAAAAGAATTCGATCAGATCGTGACCTTAAGGGAAGATTTGTCGGCGAGATGCTTGTGCCGGACTGCCAGCCGCTTCGCCTTCGTCAATGCCTAAGGCAATAAAACTTAACTATCTGAGCTATCGATGTCGAGCTATCGATGTCGCATCATCGCCCCGTAGCATCCCCACCGGCCGCCGCAGGCACGTACGCGCCGCTGATGCTGCGCTCCTGCTATTTGTTTGTGATTGGTGAATATCAAAAGTAGCACCTATACGAATTTAAGCTTTTGCAGTCGTTGTAGCTGTGCAGCAAGCTGAAACAAACAAACAAATCGAATGTTTGATAGCTTCTTTTTTTCCCCAGTTGTAACGCATGGGCATATTTGCTACTCCCTCCGTTCTAAATTATAATTCGTTTGACTTTTTTTAATCCAAGTTTGACCATCTGTCTTATTCAAAAAATTTATACGAACATAGTCAAATTTAAGTCATTTTTGAAGAACTTTTGTTAATAAAGCAAACCACAATAAAAAAAAAGTGATATTTTGCATAAAGTTTTGAATAAGAGAGTGGAACTTAGGGTCACAAAAGTCAAACAAACTATAATTGGAAACGGATTTAGTAGTAAATATTATATACATGTATGTATAGATATAGATGAAGTGGCTGCAAGCATTTCATAGCGCAGTTCAAACAGATTTATATTCTGAATCAAAAGGACTAGATGCACGTATTTCCTCATCGAGGGATTCTGATTCAAAACTATTCGCAAAAGCAGGCGCGAGCGAGGAAGCAAACCCCCACTGTTAGCGTGAGCGAGGAAGCAAACCCCCAAAGCCCCACTGATCTGCAGTTCAAAGTCAAGCAACTCAGGGGTCCATCGTAGGGATGGGCTTTCCTACAAAATTTCGGGCCAGGTAACTGAAAATTAGAGCATTAAAAATTGCTATCTAAACTAATGTTGGCCCTGAAAAAACATTACCCAAAATTTCAAACAACCGATAATTCAAGTTCAGATTTCACCTGATATACAGAAAATTAACAAATCCAACATAATTAATTTCAGGCAACCGATAATTCAAGTTCAGATTTCACCCAATATACCCAAAACTAACAAATCCAATAATTTTAATAAAATTCCAGTAGCATATTAAAACAATAAAAAGAATCCATTAAAACACTTCATGCCTTTACATATATCAATTAACAACAAATCAATTATCAGACTAGCATATATCTATATAGCCATACCAAATAATAGATTTATAGCGCACACTTCATGTCTTTATATTTGATGTAGAATAGCAAAAATTTAGGATATTTCGAGTAATTCAGATACCAGAGAACATTACCCAAACTAAATTCTGATTTTTATAGTTACTATCAAAAATTATTATCATCAGGCATTTTGGGTTCAGGTACTTCAAGTCTAGGTTCGGGTAATTCGGGGATTGGATATGTACTCCACCTTATACTTGCATACGATATGTTTATGAATTTTGCCCACCCCTAATCCATCGTACACTTACATACGATAACTTTGAGTTCTGTATCTATAACAGTTACAAGATAGACAAGATATTCTTGAAACGTCCTGGTGACTGCATATTTTTCACATATTTCACATTTCTATACCTTTGGAACCAAGGGAAAAAAAACCAAGATTGCACAGCTCCTGTTTTCCGACAAGTTGTCATTTCCTTGAGCTGAACCATGTTGAATAAATGAACCAAGCGATCCACATTGGAGAAATGACAACAAGATATGCCTGCAGTTTGACCCAAGGAAACTCGTGATTTTCAGTTCGACAGCTGCAGAGGTAAGACTAGTAATCGAGAAATACTCACCAAGATAAATGTAACTGGCTCGTTTGACAAACCACTGCTATATTTGTTGGATTCCATCACATCACGGATAAAAACTTGGGCCTGCAGAAGTCATGCCCAGTTAGTCTCACATCCATTCGAGACTTGTGAAGGCGCGGATACATGTAGGCAGGTGCATTCATCTAATGATAAATAACATTTTGTGAAATTTGTATGACATGATTTTATTATACGGGGTACATATCTAATATGTCCTTTTTGCATTAGCTATATGCTCATTGGCACCAACTATAAGTAAATAAACAGTGAAGCTATATCCTACATGATCAATGTAGGAGCAGCACACATGCTCACTGAATCTGCATCAGCATCAGCATGACTAAATCGTCCTTGAATGGGATGGACATGTTCATATTCAAAACCATTCTACAGCTTGAATGAGATGAACATAGTATTAACATCTTCCATGTACAACTTTTAGATTTTTTATTAAAAAAAACATTTTCCAAAAAAAACTAAACACACCAGGGAAATGTAGGGCACCTATATTTCTTAGAACAAAATAGGGCACCTTATGATGAAACTTCTGTGCTGATGAGATGAAAATCTTGAATTGGTTATATGGAAGAGAAATGCTTGATTTTGAAACGGTACCACCCAAAAAGAAGACATCAGGCTTGTTAATATCAGATATATACTGGCGACGAATTGCTTTGCGGAACCGAGAAGTCTACAAGAAAGGAGGGAAACACTAGAATCAGTGCACAAAACAGTTTAGATACAAGACACAGATCACCACAAGTGCTAGAGACATTATGAAGGATATTTGTGACTGCATGAAGAGTGGTACAGGTACTTTATTGTAACCATTTAGTCATTTCAATATGCATCTTATTACTGGTATGTTTTTCTTTATTTGATACAAATAGGTGAGCACATGCATTTTGCACTTCTTAATTAATAATATTGAATCGCATTAATAATGTAAGACATGGAGTAATAGCAGGTACCTCATGGTAGCATCTGCTTATTGCTTGTACAAAACTTCTAGACTGTTCATATGTATGTGAAAAGCAGGACCTCGCATATGATGCCACTCTAAGATAAATACCATCAAGCTTCATATTCCTGACATACTGCAGACAAAAACATCAGCAAACACAGTTTGACAATGCAAAGGAAAAATTCCAGGTCAAATACAAGGCGTGAATAATAAAGGACTAATGATGCGCAGAGTGAATAATATGAACTAGCATGTGTTTAATTTGCACATATTTTACTAACTCCCAATGAATATTTTCTTTATTCAGAGAGTGTGGTCAATAAATGACCATATACTTCCACACTTTCAATTTTGAAAAACAGAAAAACAAGAAAATACTTGAAAACTTGCTATAATTTATAAAAGATTGATGAAATGCTTTGGTATCAAACAAAGCAACATGTTGTCAGGAGATCAGGGCAGGTAAAACACAAAGAAAGGCTAAAATAACGGCGTGAAAGAGACTAGGGCTTTGGAATAGGAGGCAGAACTCAGAATATAAGTTTTGTACAGAACAGGAAAATTCTTTTCTTGATCACCAGGATACAAAGCATACCCTTTTCGTGGGGATGAACTCAACTACCTAACCCTATCTATCTATCTAGGGATCATCAGATTGGAGCCACCAAAACCAAATTGACTCCAAGACTTTTTTAGTTTATTATTCTCGGAGTTCTAGAAAGTGCTAGGTGTAGATGATTTAGCATGTGCAATGATCAACAACCTTTTCATGTGGACAAGTCTCCTTTTTACTATTTGAAGAAATAGGTGAAGTGTTCTTTCTAGGAAGAAGTTTATTTAGCTAGCGCAGCAATCCACTTTGTCTACTTAACCCTATGAACAAAATTTGGCTCGATTTACTCGCCAAACTATTTTAGTTAGTCCAATGTACCCTATTCACGCCTAGATTATAGCAAGCTTCAACTAAATATTGCAACAGAAGTACAACATTTAGAAAAGGCAATGCAGGATATTCATATATTGAAGTTAGAGGTGCCAGGGTACCTTAACAATTATTTCTTTTCCAGGCCACTTATAAACTGTATCTGATGGACTACTTCTCTCGAAAACTTTTGACGTCATCATCTGCGTTCATTTCGCTAAATGAAAGAACTGCTTCTGCATATTGTATAGTAGCATGATATAAATGATGGATTACCTTAGTTAACACAAATGCTTGTTCAAGTTGTCGAATTTGGATCCATTGTTCCGCAGTCATATCCTCTATCTGATATAGAAATTGCAAAGTTTACAAATTCCTAGATAATATCTTCATAATGTCAATTACTAGGGTTCATCTCTGTTTCCTAACAATGTCAAGCATCTGTTTCAAGAGAAAAAAACTGTCGTTTTCCATTGAATAAACAGCAATTGGAAAAGTGCATATTCCTGCTGTCCTCCAATGTCTTATGCCATCATGTTTTCTAAACAATGCTCACTTCATGATATCAACATTATCTCCTTGTTTTGTTGATCCACATTAACTTCTCTTTAAATTTCTCTCTCTTCGTCATTAACAAAGGAACTGCTGCCACTATCCTGTCAGATGCACCATCACTGCTCACCAAGTTCTCCAGAGCGATGGCCGATGCCATGTCCTCCCTGCTCTTTAAAACTGCAGCAGCCAACTTGAACATTCCTTTGCTGCTTCTTTAGCCTCTCTGGTATACAGATAAACTAGCCATCATTTGACTTGGAGGTGTATATGGCACTCTGCTCTCCACCTCCCGCTCCAATACAAGGTCATAGAAGCATCCACATTGCCCTCTACCACTGATTCCAAGAGTTACAATCATCTCTGCATGTAGCTACCCCATTCACCACTTTCCCTATACCAACTTGCAAGAGTTTGACAATGCCAGATTGAGTCAACTGATTGATTCAGAGTTTTTTTCCAGGGGCGGGGGTGGGTGGGGGGATTTTAGTTTTTTAGATCCCAGTTTTCCGTCATCATTAGGTTGTGCTTTACATTGCCACGCAACTGGTTAACAGCACACAGCAGTATAGGATCGCCAAATGAGATAAAAAGTCTAGGGCCATTTTTGGAGGAAAAAGGAGTTATATCTATCATGGAACAGCATGCAGACACATGGCAGCAAGGCATGGAGGGAACAAAAACCAAAAACTCGTACCATGGAAGGAATAAACATGTTCTTTAGAGGCACATCTCAGAACTCTTTGTAAAATAAAGGATTTTCTTTTGTTTGATGTGTACCAAATTAATTCTTATAACTTTTATACCTAGTTCCAAGCCTCCAAAAATGCAAACTCTATTACGCGACCTGTGAGAGCACGCAGCGCGCGACCATGTGGCCCATAAGCCCAGCGCGACCCCGCAGCCCATAAGTCCTCAGCTGCTGCCGCCGCCGGAGACGCCGGCATTAAGGTTCCAGGTTAGGGATTTGGGGTTTTTTAGGGTATCTCTATTGCCAAAGGCCTTAGAAGGGGGACGGGCCTCAGGCGGCGGCCGAACTGACGGTGGTCGGTTGAGGGGCGGCAAGCAACGCACCGGGACTCGGGAGACATCCGGCTGGGAAGAGCTCGCAATGGGGGCAAGCTGCTCTAGCTCTGGCTCCTCCAGGTTGGGGTTAGGGGAGAGCGGGGTGGAGCGGAGGGGTTAGGCGGTGGGCGGGGGAGCCACTCACTAGGGACTACGGTGGAGGCCGGAGGAGGGAGCGGGCTGGTGCGGTTCAACAGAGAAGAACTACGCACAGGCAGGGCAGCCGGCGGTTGCACTCTCCTCGTATAACACAACCGGTCGTGGCTCCAACAAACCACAAACTTTAGTTGCTTTTCAAGTAACAGTCACCCATCATCAAACTGTGAAGATTGTTCTATTTTTCTATACATTCCCCCAATAACATTGTAGTGTCTTCAGTACTCCACATCAGTCCGTCACAATAACTAACCAAGATAGTATGCACAGTACATAATAAGTTGTAAATGCAAATGAAACCAACTAGTCAGCACAATGACAGTCAGAAGCCAAGAGCATACCTTTTTGACCTCCAAGTTCAGAGCTTCCACCCTTTTCTCAGTATCACGTGCTAATGATTCAGCGGTGTAAGAATTCATGTTTATCTTACTGACCTCGTGCTGAAGCTGTCGCACCTATACAGCATTCAAACCATGAGTCCAATGAGATATGAATTTGATTGAGTATTGCCTTTTATATTTCATATAGTATAAAGCATTAGACTCTCCTGTCTAGCAAATCTTAACTTGCTTGGGACTAAAAGGCTTTGTTATTGTGGTGTATAAAATAAAGCAAACACTGAAAAACCTATAGATGTAACTTTCATGCCCAGGTGATCAGTGGAATAGATATATAAAAAAAAGGGTGTACCCAGTGCAGAGAGCTCCCGCTCTGTGCGGGGTCTGGGGAAGGGTGTCAGTGGCAAGCCTTACCCTCGCCTGTGCAATGCGGGGAGACCGTGACTCGAACCCGGGATCTTCCGGTCACAGGCGGTAAGACTCTACCGCTTGCACCAGGCCCGCCCTTCATCAGTGGAATAGATATAAAAACATATATTTGTAGTATTATTTAAAAGGGGCGTACCCAGTGCAGAGCGCTCTGTGCAGGGTCTGGGGAAGGGTGTCAGTGGCAAGCCTTACCCTCGCCTGTGCAATGCGAGGAGACCGCGACTCGAACCCGGGACCTTCCGGTCACAGGCGGTAAGACTCTACCGCTTGCACCAGGCCCGCCCTTCATTTCTAGTATTATTTATCCTTTAAATATGTTAATGATTTGGTTCAGTCCGTAAGAAAAATTATACTATAATGTAAACATGTTTTCCATAAAAGAAGAGTCGGGGATGGGGCATGAGCTACCTTGGATACAATTATCATAGATAGAGAGAATACGAGTGATAGAGATGTGCACATGGTCTGGGAAAAGAAGGAATATGCGATACTTCCCTTATATACAAATATACATGTGAAGAAAGGCAAGTAATGTTTAGTCACTTCTACATTTCAAGGATCATGCGCATCAATGGACATGTGAAAACTACAGGGTTATGTTCCGGCTTCAGCAAAGGCATTCATTAGCTACACAACACTATGGCTGCATGGAGAGGTACCTCATCTTCCATAGATTTAATGTTGCCAGCAGAATATGATTTGCTTTGGGAGTTCTGCAAACACAGGGAGCAAGTGTCATTATGTGCAAGGGAAGTATTTGGCGACATACTATCTGTTGTAATAAGGTTCTAGATAGACACCATTGTATCACATCACAAGAATTGTATAACAAAGAACATAAAACTGCCACATGTTTTATGAAGTGCATCAATTTAGTCAAAGATTGAACAGAAAAATTGGTTTCTTACATATTTTGATAAGTCAGATCTAATTCCCCACTTATGTTTCAAGTTAATATTTCCATTGAAATTATGTACGCCTTAAGATTTAAGATTAAAGAAATATAATATTCATGCAGCTTGCTAGCATCCACTTTGAAAATGAATATAATGAAATCAAGTACTCGCCATTTACAGCATGACTAACAACTTTCTTAAACCCACTCTCTAAATCCTTAGAGAGCCATTCTAATAAAAATTGCTCCCTGTAGCTCTCCACCCTCCAACATCTATATCCTGTTCAGCACTTTGAAGAGCCAACTCCGCTGTCTATCTTTAGCAAGAGAGAAACTAGCAATAGAGGATGGAAATATTTGGTGAGTTAGTTGAAGAAACTGTTGGAGGGGATTTTTTTTCAGCAAAATCTCTATTCCTAATAATAACCAAAATCTATATTCCCATTCATACAGAGGGATACAAAGAGACTCTTTGAGCTTAGATTTTAAAGCCTTTTTTTAAAAGGTGAAATGCTATTAATGTTTTCAATTATTCTACAGCACAATAAATGTTTATCCCACCTACACTAAAATGGTTTATGAGAATGTAAGTTTTTCTTTTGTTGAAAAGCAATGCAATACGTGAACATTCTTAGTTTCTTACTGATCTAACTGCATACCTTTGTACTGTCTGGTTCATTCATTAAAAGCTGGATTTCACGTTCCATTGCTTCATTGAGTTTGTTGTCCTCCTCCAAGATACTAGCCTTACTGTCCAGTGTCTTCACATTTGACTCTAGTAAAGATTCTATTCAAGAAATGGATTTAGTAAATTAACTAGGTACATAACCATACACATAGTAATTTGATCATTCAGCAGCAAGGGGATTCCAGTTGAATGTAATTATATGAATTATACGATGATGCCAAATACTCATCACAAGAAACAAAATGGTGTGCTTGTGGGTGGATCGGGGTGTGTCCAGCTCCAATTGGTCTGATCACCTCAGATTGCACTGAGTGGATGGATCAGGTCACTGCAATCCGTTTGCTCTAGTACTTGTGCAACAAAATTTCCTACTTCCTGCTAATCTGGACTGACACTACATTGCGAGGAGGGTAAAAGGCAGCATTGGAGAGACAGGATCGGATAAGGCGCCTCACCCAGCCGCGCGACCTTTTGCCTGAGCGCTTCAATCTCCAACCGCAAGGCGTCGGCGTCGGCGTCGGCGTCGGCATCGGCGTCGGCTTCAACGTTGGCGCCCGCATCGGGCATAGCGCATATGGCGGTGACGAGCGAAGCGACGGCGAGCAGCGCCGCCGCGGAGCGCGCCCATCTGAGCGGGGCGGCGGAGGTACAGGAGAAGCGCGGGCGGAGGGCGGCAGAGAGGAGGTGGAGCGGAAGGAGGAGGGCGGCCTCCGCGGCGGTGCGGGAGGTCATGGTTTAGGGTTTAAGGCGGAGGCGGCGGGGATGCAATCATGCAAAGTTGCAAACCAACGCGCCGCCCAAGCCCAAATAGGAGGGCGGGGGCTAATAATATTGCCTCCGTACGAAAAAAACAACACAAAATTAACTATTCTTTAGAGTAGAGTTGCCAAGATTTTTTTCCCAAACAAGAGAGTTTTCTACGAAACCAAAACGTACTGGAAGCACTAAATAAGATCATCTCCAAAGGTTTTCGATAAATCCAAATGGGTTTTTTTAATCCCTGCCATTACATTTCTTGAACTTTGGAGATATGCCATTACAATTCATCTATTCTGAAACATGCCATTACAATTCTTCTTCTACTTGATTCTTGCCATTTTCTATGTCTTTTCCGAGTGCCTAGGCTCACTGTCCGACCGTATATGTGTACGCATCATCCGTATGGACGAAAACACCCCTATTGCTTATCTCTCCCTCCTCTCGCTGACGTGTGGGCGTGTGGGCCCCACACGTCAGCTTCACCTTCAACCTCCAGCCGGCGCATGATCTGAGACGGCGCCGCCGCGGCCGTGGATGCGAACTCCCCCTACGCCGGCCTTGCCCTGCGCCAGGCGCCCATGCTGCCGTGCTTCCGCGCCCTGCATGATGCAGCGTCCGTTCCCCTCCCGACAACGGTCGTGGCACCCTTCCTCATCCCAACAACAGTCGCGATGGTCATTCAGATCGGAGGCCTTGCTGTGGTTGAAGGCACTGCTGACGGCATTCACGCCGCACGCAGGCGTGTACGCGCTGATGATGTCGATGTCGATACGCTCGCTCGTAGTCATACCCTCGGCCTTGCGTGTGTGGATCTCGGTGATCGGCACCCACCCTTGAGCTCTAGATCCATGCAGGGCGGTGAGCCGGCAGCGACGGGGGTGGATCCGCACGGAGGCGGCGCTCCTTCCTCTCACACCAACACGGTGACGACGGTCCTCCTCACTAGGGCGAGCGCCGCTGCCCATGCCATAGAGAGCAGCGGCGGTCCTTCAACCTACCGGCGTCGGCAGTGCTAGCCCGACCAAGTTGCGGTCATCCCCATCCAAACCGTCCTTGGTGACCCTACCTACCGCCGGAGCATCGCGAGCACCATGCCATAGCTGTGCCCGCCCCTGGCTGCCTTGGCCCGCCCGGGCGAGGCCTCTGCGAGCCGAGCCGTGCCCACCCAATAGTGCGTTCGGTACCACCACTGCTCCCACGGCACTCCCTGCGCCGGTGAGCACCACCGTCGATCGGAATCCACCTTCTCTGCTCCTGCGTTCAAGTAGAGAGAGAGGACCTCAGGGGTAAAAGCTTGTGTAGTCTGGAGGTTGAAGGAGAAGCTAATGTGTGGGGCCCACATGTTAGTGATTGGAGGGAGAGAGAAGCAGCAGAGGTGTTTGGTCCATACGGAAGATATAGAGACGTATATGGTTTGACAGTGGGCCCAGGCATCCGAAAGACGTAGAAAATGGCAAAGATCAGGTAGAAGAAGAATTGTAATGGCAAATTTCAGAATAGGTGAATTGTAATGGCAGATCTCTAAAGTTCAAGGATTATAATGGTAGGGATCCAAAAAACCCTAAAATAAAATATTAAAAATTTTGTCCCACAAAAAAATTTCTTCGTAGTAGTTTTTTCCGCGCGAGATTGCTAGGGCGGGGGCATCTACGTCATCGCCGCCTCCTTGCACACTTCTGCCACCCTAGCAAGCACCAGCCGGTGGCAGCCAGTCAATAGGCCACCGCTACTTGCTGAAGTCTCGTCCAGCCTGCCGTTATCCCCTCCCATCCGGCTGCCAGCCACTTCTTACTAGCCACAACAAGAAGCTCACCAGTGGGCAATCACTGACGTCAAAGGAGCATGGCATGCCCACATCCAGCACCCCTGTGGGTGCCACCTTTGTAGCGTGTATACCACTTTTCAAATCATCCTTAGCATCAACCTTGCTAGAAACAAGTGAAACTAGATACCACGTGAGATCAACATTATATATTGGGGGCGATTCTGGGTTTATGAGGGACTATGCAAGGTCATCAAGGAGGTTCTCAAGGAAGTTTCATTTGGATTGACTTTGGGTCGTGACATCGACGAGCCAGTGTGGCATGCCACCAAGGGTGGCGGGGTGGTCTAGGGTTTACGGGCACCCGGGGTAGGGTTTTTATAGCGGCAGCCAGCTATGGTGAGACAGCGGATGACACTGGGTGACTGTTGGTATTTCTTAACGCAAACAGAAATAATCCACAAGCGCACGGAATTACCGTTGTAGCATTTCACCTGGAAGTATTCAGGGTATCGTATTTTCCATAGGAAACGGAGGTAAATCTTCTATCTAGTTCGTCCAAGGACAACACAAGGATAGAGTTGGTAGAGGGTAGAGAGGATTCCTATGGTTTTAGAGTCTAAAAATAGATAAACTCTACTTCTACTTGCTCACTTCGGGCACCGGCTTACGCCTGGTCTGCCAAGTGATACTGGCCTGTAGCTCTACGTCGTACCCGGACGTGAGAGATTATAAGGGACGAACAAGGTTATCACCACCTGCCGCCTACCCCTTAACCGTGGAGTATGAGGCAAACGAAGGTAGCATCTAGCTTAGACACCACGTCTATGCTATCGACTATTGCTCTAGCGTTGTATAGGGTATCCTCCACGGGAATGGACGATGAACCCACAAACAAGTAAGAATAAAGCTTAACTGATCAAAAGACTTAATAACATAAGAACCATGAACACTCACTTAGCAGATGAATCTATTGAGGTGCAGGTGTTCGTCAAGGTACAAGCGGGGAGATACCGACAAGTCCAGCACTTCCCTGAACTCTCCCTCACATCTCTCTCAACTACTCAACTCTAGCTAGCTAGGGCCTAAGCCCTTTGGAGTAATGCTCTTGCTCTAGTGTGGTAGCTCTTCTTCCTTGTGGTGTTGTTGTATGAGAGGGGGGAGGTCCTCCTTTTATAGGTGGAGAGTGTGACAGAACTGACCAATTTATAAGAGCACAAGTAAAATGACAACCACCGAAACGATCGCACTATCATATTTGAGCCCATATAAATCCGGTAGTCCGTCGAGTACCACGAAGGGTCTCGATTCATCACCAACATACAACCAAGATCATACATGATTCAACATACATGCCACATATTACATAAAGTTCACAATTACCTCACCATACATCGGAGTACAATTAAAGTTATTACAAACCAAGTTCAAATGAAGTAGTAGCGGAAGCAAATCTAGTTTGAAACGAACATCTCACACCATCATTCAAATACTTTGTTAGTTTACGATCACAACCCATAAAAGCATCATAGAGGAGTTAACGAGAAGCGCCTTGCCTAGGGCCTACTCCTCGTCTACGGTGGGACAGAAGCAGTTCTTATAATATCCATGATAGACTATATTACCTAGAACAAGTGGGAAATAAACCCTGAGTACAATAAGGTACTCAACTAGACTTACCCATCATAAACCAAAAATAATGTGACTCCAAGGATCATGTAAGGCTTTATAAGTGGAGCTAGCTTGACAATATTTTGCATAAAAAGTCACTAGTTCAACTATACATTTTATAATTGGAGTATCAAGTTAATTATAGCTATTCACCTCTAGATTAACAACTAACCTATGCCAAACATGTGATATATCATTATGTAGAATCACAATAATAACAATAGCCGGTGTAGCATTCCCATGTCCAATATAACCATCAAATTCCATAGTCCAGTTACTACAATGCTGGGACTAGTCGAGTTTCTCACTATCCAAGAGAGATGGCAATTTGAATCGGTTGTAACTAGCTGGGCAGTTATTCCTAACATAAACCCACACTTTCCCCATTCGGGGTCGCGTCGGGTCACCTTTGGTACAACTCAGGTACATATTTCGTGGGTTCGATCAGCGCCGCACAAACAGGGACAACCAGCTGCTAGGACGTTTAGGCCCGGCCTACCCTTGGGCTCACGTCTGGCTCCCCACACATCCTTACTACCATCCAGAGTGTGCACTTTAATAGAATGAGGCCCGTTCTGAGTTACTCAGCTTCGCGGTCGGAACAAGTTATCCGGCTAGCTAAGTGAGAGGCAAACGTTCAATCTCGACAGAAGCGCCAACAGTGGTACGGTCCTTAATCGACACGGATAGGACCAACATAACCAAACCAACACCATTGAATATAAGTTCCCACCCGGTCTCCACTTAATAACACCCTATGATTATTTTCCACGATAGCAAATATAGCCAACAGTGCCCCCGGTATCCACCTATATCTCGTAGGTGATAGGAAATCACCCGACTTCTACCGATCTAAGCATGACTAAGCATATGTTCGATCCTAGACCTACATAGGGTTCAAGGTATATTTCTAGACAAGGTAGTTCTATGTATCAAGTGTTTCCAACCAACTCTTATAACCTAATGCATCAAACATAAATGACTCAAGTGATATTTGTAAAAACATAGGAGGCTTAGAATGCTCCGGGGTTTGCCTTTAGAAAGGAGGTAGGACTATGATCGGGGCACTCCAATAATTCCTTAGGAGCCTGCTCCTCGCTTTTGGGGGCTACCTGCTGCGGTGCCTCCTAATTCTTCTCCTCCTCTGCCTCAAACTCCAAGAGTGTGATTCCTTTTGGCGATCTTATATGCATGAGCGTAAAATAAGATACAAGAATGCACAGGTAATGATATGGATGATATGATATGATGCATAAACATAAATGTCCTTAACAACAAGGTATTAGGGTGATAATAAGATTAACTTCTTTTACTGAGTAGGTGCATATCTCCCTTCTAGTAATTAAACAAACGCCTATTTAGTATTTTCTGGGCTGCAAGATAGTAGCTACTTGTTTTGACTATAACTAGAGTTATACGCATCAAACAATATGGTTGTGGACTTTCTAGAAATCTTATGAAATTTCCTACAACTCTCTTTTAATCATCTTAAGGTGATTCAGTAACTATCTAGGTCAAACAATTCAATCTTCTAGATCTG